ATTAAAATATTACAAGAAACCATCATTTTGTAGAAGTAAAGCATTAATATGTAGATAATTGTTAATATTTTATAGTAGACATAGTCAAATCTCATTATTCAACTACAACCATCAGACAAAATGGAGTTTAGTAAATAAATAAGATAGGAATCCCGCCATCACATGATTTGCTACACTATCCATACAAATGAAAACCTTTAAATTTAAGGCTAACATTTTATTTATTTTTTTTTTTTTACCAGGATGCTAAGCAGGATTTGGCCGCGTTTGTAGAACAGTTTCAGCGAAATAGAAAAGCATTAACGGTTGGGAGTATGAAATGGCGTTCGCTGATTGAAATTACCACCATTTTTTTGTGATTTCCTCAAGGAATTTGAATGTGATCTATGAGAAAATTTAGACAAAATAATATTTATTTTTCGATTAGTATGAAAAGTCATGGAATTGAATATATATATATTTTTTTAAATTTTGGTATAAACATGATATTATTTTTTCGTACCTCGAAAAAACCTTAAACACTAATTAGAAAATCGAGTCCTAATATATATATATATGTCTTCTTTTAAAACATTTAAAAATCAATTTTATATATATATATATATATATATATATATATATATATATATATATATATTTAGATTACAATAAAAAATTGATATTTAAGAGTTTTAAAAGAAGCTAACAGAAAACACTGCCATCAGAATAGTGGTGCCTATGAGTCGAAGCTGACGGGCTTCCGCTTGAAATAAGAAGACAACAACTAGACCTCATTTGTTAAGATCCGTCGTTCTGCTTCGAACCATCCACTGACCGATTTATTTTAAAATATACAATACACAAATCACCAGCAAACTGACTTACCAAATAGAACACTCTTTACATTCAGAGCTTCAACTTTACTGAATAATGTACACATTGATGATACACACTTCCTACTTTTCAACTGGAGTTTCGCCAATTTATTCTTGAGGACTTCCCACTCCAAAAATTCTTCTTTCTCTCACAAAATTTATTAAAAACAACACAATGCCTTGTATATATGAACATGAATTTCTCAAACTTCAATACAGACTAGGTGATTCCGACTTTATCTACACTGACGGCTCGAAGAGCTCCGCAGGAGTGGGAACGTGAGTTATATGTAACGAACGACAACATATTTTTTCTCTGTCACCACTATGTAATAATCATACTGCTGAGTTGTTTGCAATATATAAAAGTTTAAATGTTATACAGCCCACTAAACAAAAAAAAACAAACAAAAAAAATGGTCATCTACACAGATTCTCTGTCCGCCTTGATTAGCCTAAGAAATGTTTTCTCGTCTAATTTCATCATAAAAAACATTCTGTTCTCAATAAAGTTTTGCAAATAGAAATAATATATCAGTATTTTTGTCTGGCGATTGATCCTTCAATCGCCTGGCATCCCTGGGCATTGCGGAATAACAGGTAATGCACTATCTGATCGAGCTGCCAAAAATGCCATTATTGATGGAATATCTTATCGGGGAGTATTTTATAACTCGAGGATTTTTAACCATCATCAAATAGAAAATTATGACAAAATGGGAACAGATGTGGGCGAATTTGGCCGAAAATAAATTGAGGGATATAAACAGTGACGTTTCCTCTTGGGCTTTTTGTCTGGGTCCCTTGGCATTGCGGAATAACCGGTAATGCACTATCTGATCGAGCTGCCAAAAATGCCATTATTGATGGAATATCTTATCGGGGAGTATTTTATAACTCGAGGATTTTTAACCATCATCAAATAGAAAATTATGACAAAATGGGAACAGATGTGAGCGAATTTGGCCGAAAATAAATTGAGGGATATAAACAGTGACGTTTCCTCTTGGGCATGTTCAAATAGGAATAAGCGCAGAGAGGGAGTAATCCTTACTCGCCTGAGTATAGGTCATACACGCCTTACCCACAGATACCTCATGGCCCAAGATTCTTCGCCAACATGGCAAACCTGTGGGACTCCTCTGACAGTGAAACACATCTTAACAGAATGCAGAGTTTACGAAACATTTAGACTATCTTGTGACTTGACAAACGATCTACATATCATTTTACAGGACAATACGAATGAAATTGATAAACTATTTTCTTTTCTGAAATGTTCAAAACTTGAAAATAGAATCTAATTCTCAATGAAAGTAAGACGATAATGACCATAGTGCTTGAAGATTTTCAGTTAAGAGAAAAAAAAAAAACCTAAAACAGTTTTAACGATTCTTTTTTGCTTTTTTAAAACAAAATTTTAACTGATTTACATTAATGGAAATGTTTTAACTTTTTTCCCCAATAATTTTATCATTTAGAATAAACTACTCCTAAGATAGAAATAGATTGAGTCGTATAAATAACCGATGCAGTTACATGTTACATATAACAAGACGATGATATAAATAATAGTAATTATAATACCTAGGTAAATAAATCAGTCCACCAACAACAGAGAATAATGAGCGTTAAAAGGGTCTTATTGCGGACTTAGCGATATCCTCGGGAGGGTTGGGGCTAGGAGTGCGTACATTATTTATCCCTGACTAATGTTAGCTGCTCAGGAAGGGTTCCTTCGGATTGGCCCCGACGGGATCTGTTATTGACCTCTGATTATCTTGCCGCTGTAACATGCACTAACGGATCCAGGATTTAATTTTGGGGAGGGTTTCTTCCCGAAAGACTTTTTTTTTTTTGTATGTATATATTAAGATAATTACTTTGGAGAATAGAAAGAAACTAATCACCTACATGAAATGGCGTTTAAGTACTATTAAATGTAATTAGACGAACAATAATACTTTTAGAGATAATTTTTTTCATTAAACATGGTTATATTTTACCATTTTGGGGGAGGGAGCTTCAGCCCAAAACCCACACCTCTCCTCGTAGGTCCGCCTGTGGTAACATGGAAACCGTGGTTTGTATCTGTGATCCTACAAGTTAGAGAATCCTTTTAAAATTACACAATAAGTAGACAAAATATACAACATGTGGATTACCAAAGTAAAATGTGTATTGATTGTTGTCATATTTATATACAGTTTCAATTGATTATTCATGATACAAATTCTGCAGGCTAACTGGAAAGTTTTGCTTGCTCACTACCGAAGGTGAGGGAAGCATTGTGATCGTTCAAGAGATTTAAAAAAATTTGTTGCTCAGAATCGAAAATTTTCAATCGCGTTTTACGTTTTAGACATCAAGGATCAATTTTGATTCGGTGTCTGTCTGTATTCAAATTGAAGTGATGGGCATACCACCTACTACCGTTTATCCGATTTTCATGAAATTTTCAGGGATTGTGCGGGTGGGTGCCTCGACTTCCGCTTTCGCATGCGCAAATGTAATTTTTTATATATGCCAATATTTCAGAAAGGGCTCGTTCCATTTGACTCAAAGTTGGATGAAAGGTAGCTAATGCAAGGTAGCTAGGCGCAAACGTGTTTCCTTGATACTTCTATATGTCTAAAACCGCATGTTCGATTTGGCTCAAATTTGGAGGGAAGTTAGGGATTGGTAAACAGATAATCACGTAGGTATAAATTTCATCAAATTCTTGCTTTTCATGTTCAGTACGCACTGGTTTTTTTTAAATCCCGAATCAGCAAATATGCTATCTACTTATGAGGATCTTTATCGCATTTTAGTGTTCTCTGATGATATCAAACTCGTTGATATCAAACCCGTATATGTTGAGGGATTACTGAATTTCCATAAACAGCTTCTTCCAGGGATTTTATTCTCACGCGAAAAAGTTTAGACCTTGTAATATAGATATTTTTAGCCAATGCAAATGGTGAGGAAGCTATACTGTCCTTACTTGGCTGACGTTTTTTTTTTTTTTTTAATTTTAGTAATTTCTGATTCATTCGAATTCATTCAATATGATGAGAAATAGTTTTTCTTATTTTTTTACACAAAAAAAATCACACACTATGATATAGAAATCAGTGCAAAGCAAAGGCAATAATATAAATAATATTAAAATTAAATAATACAGGTCGTACTTTAGGCCTCTGTAGTCTCAGCCATTAGATAATTTATTATGAAATCACCCAAATTCTCTCCAATGCAGGAATCTTCAGGGATATATACCAGAGATTATAAAAAAGTTCAGGATATTTTAATATAATAATAATAATAAAGAGAAGGATTGTTGGGATGATCAGTCAAAATAAAAATGGCAAAAATAAATAATAATATTTATTTTAACGGCAAATGTTAAAATAATTATTATTATTTATTTTTGGCATTTTTATTTTACCTGATCTCCCCAACCAGCCTTCTCTTCATTATTTATTACAGTCAACTATCAACCCATAATTATAATTAATTATTTGAAGACAGATTACTGAGGCTTAAAGTAAGACCTGTAATTATAATAAAGTCTGTTCCCCTTTATCCTCGTTAAAAAATTATATAATATCTATAATGTTTTCTCGGCTCCTATAGCGTATTGGCAAGAGCTCTCGCACACATATATGTACAATATTTTTAGACGTTTTATCACTAATTAAAGTTTCATTTAAATCGGTGATTCCACGTACATAACTTTCAGTTTTAAACAAATTTTATTTGTATTAAATATTTATTTTCAAATACTAAATATTTCTCGCAAAGTAAGTAACCAAGATAAAAGTATTATACGTGAAAAAAAAATTGTAAAAATATTCTCATTAGATTTTTTCTGTTTCTTATCTTAAACTATTACTTTTTTTTTTCGAGACAGAATCTTATAGCAAAATATAAACATAAAAATTGCATGTATGTAATTTTTAAGATTTTTTCGTTTTTTTATAAATATTTGTTTAAGATATAATTGTTTGACTTAAGATTTATTTATTATACATTTGTTATGTGTTATTCAATAAGGTAGAGCAAGTGTTACTTTGCAAAAAACAGAGTCGAAATTCCATGAATTCCCTGATAAAAAAAAAAATAAAAATAGAACAAGTTCAACATTCCCCCACTTTGAATCATCAAACCTTTTCAAGTGGCAGATTGGTGCAAGATTTAAAAACTGTTTATAAAAGCTCAAGCCTTTGTTAACAACAGGAGGTATGTAGTTTTACTGACAATTTTACGAAATAGAATTAAGTTGTTCGTAATTGTAGGAAGCGTCGTGATAATTATATATATTTTTAAAAACCGATGTTTCTGTTGTCTTAGGATTCAGCAGGACTTTATCCTGCCCAGGACAAACCATTAGGTTTGGAGAAAAGCTACACCTAAATAGGCACTCATTAGAAAAAAAAAAGTGATTTTTCTTTTTTTAACTTCTATCCCATATGTCCCAAATGTATTACCAATGCGACAATTTCGTTAAAAATTTCTAGGAATAATGGGGCAATTTTTTTTTTTTTTTGTTCTTCCCTACCCCGCTATTTAGGCTACACGGGATTTTCCCGGGCCGGAGGGTGAGGGCGGGGAATCTAAAATCCCCTCTGCCACCGGGATGCGAACTTGTACTTTTCTTGTCTCTCAAATCTTCATATATCTGGTTGCCGGGCAAGTCGCGGTGCTGTGCACATGCTTTAGCCCATTCGGCCACCCCGCCCCCTTATTTTCCTACCTTTTTTTTTTTTTTTTTTTTTTTTTTTCCCTTCCTCGCCGTTAAGGCTATACGGGATTTTCCCGGGCCAGGGAGTGTGGGCGGCGATTTAAAAGACTCCCCCGACACCGGGACGCGAACTCGTGACTATTTTTATATCTTTGATTCATATGTCAAGTTGCCAGGCAACGGCGGTGCAGTGCACACGCTTTAGCCCATTCGGCCACCCCGCCCACCTTACTTTCCTACCTATACTAGGTAAGGAAAGTATTGCAATCGGTATTAGTTATGCAATTTCCGATATGCGGTTTTCGACGGATCTATACGTTTCAGAGCCCCCTGAGTCCGAAACATACATTTTTAGCCATTGGTCTGTCTGTCTGTGCCAAGGTTTTCTCGAGAACTACTGAACCGATTTTCTTGCTTCTTTTTTTATTTTGTAGGGTTTTGACTACTGATGCCTGTGACAGAAATTCGGTGCTCCATGCGCAATAGCTTGCGCGCAATAAATGAAAAACAGGTTTTTCAATAGACTGTAGCTCGAAAACAGCTCTAACAATTTTGATTAAACTTTCCTATAATGTTCTAATCACTGTCCTTTCAATTTTCGTGTACAGACAAAATTCCCGAAAAAATCAGGAAAAAAGTTATAAAGAAAAGAAAAATGTTATGGGGCCTGACTCCCTAAGTATATATTATACGGTAACAATTATAATAAAACTTTTGAAAGTTAATTAAATTACCAACAAAACAACAACAAAAATCATCGGAATCGAACCAGTATTAGCGATGATACAGCTTATTCTATTTTTTACACATTTTTTTAATTATTACTTTCCTACCTATACTAGGTATGGAAAGTATTGCAATCGGGTCAAATTTCCGATATGCGGTTTTCGACGGATCTATACGTTTTAGAGCCCCCTGAGTAATGAAATTCCATATAAAGCCATATAAAAATCGATCATTTTGGACAACTATTAACGAAGTTACAGTTATCCAATTTCAAATGTAAGATTACGGGTACATATCCTGGTGTCAGAAAGGGGTGAATAAGAGAATAAAGATGATTAAGTGAAAGTAAGAAAATCTGTTGCCCGCGTCACACAATGTTCACTATTTCCTCTACTTTTAACAGAAATTATTGTAACAGACAATACTAAGCTATGGCAAAAAATTTTTGATCAGCAATATTAGTGAGTATTGACATTTTTACACTGATCTGTCTTAAGCCGGTTTACATTGCTTTAGTTTATCAAATAAATCGTACTCAAATCTTTTGCTTGATCTATTTTCAGAAAAATAAACCTAGTTCAATTCTTTTTTGTTTCTTCATGAACATATGTAAAGACATAAAAACTTTTCTGAAATAGGTAGAAAAGTCGTGTGAGTGGGCACACCAGATATTTTATTTTTCTCCTAATGTCCTACTGGACTGTGCGCTTAAAGGTTTGTTTTGTATATGAATATTTTTAAAATACTAAAATGTTAAACTTGATCAACATGGAAGAGCAATCTATAGTAATGATGGAGCTACTGAGCTGTGTAGAGCTGATATATTACGTGGGAGGCTGAGATTAGATCATAATTAGGCCCGTAGGGTACCGGCCGCATCTGTGGTTCACCTGCCCTCGCAGGTTCCTTAAGGATTCCCATATGTCGTTTTGGGGTTTTGATTTTGTAACAAAAATGGCTTAATATATCATATATTAACAATACAATTCATATGTGGACTCAGTTGGCTTTAGTGCATCCAATAGAAAATAATTTAAAACTTTCAATCATCTATTTCCGAACTATAATTATTACTTCAACTCAAAGTTAATGAATAATTAAGGTACACGTTTTATGCTCCATAGAGTCCTTCACGATTCCGACCAAGCTCGCTAAATCGATGGAAAATTGAATGGTACTTAATATTAGTTAGTTCATATCCTAATTGTAAAAATTAAGCTGAGAACTGTCAAGATTACTAGCTTTAAGTTATAGTAGTAGGTACACACCACTTTTTATCAAATTATTAACATCCGCCTATAACTTCGTAAATAACATTATCTCATCGTAACTTTTAAATATTTTATTTACAAAAATTTTCGAAATTGGGACTTTTCAATCTGGAGATCTGCAAAAATTGTTTATTTAATTAGGTACTAAAAACTCATGAATACCCATATGCTTGTCTCTTGGATTGTAAGATAATATCATAAAAAAATCGAAAAAAAGGGTGGCATACAAAAATAATGGGCCGTTTGGCATAAAATAATAAAACTTTTGAAAGTTAATTAAATTACCAACAAAACAAAAAAAAATCATCGGAATCGAACCAATATTAGCGATGAGACAGCTTATTCTATTTTCTACACATGTTTTAATTGTTTACTTTCCTACCTAGGTAAGGAAAGTATTGTGATCGGGTCAAATTTCCGATATGCGTTTTGCGGCTTGAACTATACGGATATGTACATTTTCGAAAGATAATGAAATTTCCTACAAAACTGTATAAAGATTGTTCATTTCGGACAAATATTAACGAAGTTTCAGCTATTCAATTTCGAATGTAAGAAGTTTAAGAAATTACGGGTTCATATCCTGGTGTCAGAAAGGTGTGAATGAGAGAGTAACAAGAAAAATAAGTGAAAGTAAGAAACTCTTTTGCTCACTTCACACAAGCTACTACTTTTAAAAAAAAATATTGTGTGACAAAATTAGGCTATGGAAAAAAGTTTTTGATTTGCAATATTAAAGGGTATTGAAATTTTTACACTGAACCACCACAAGCCGGTTTACATTGCTTTAGTTTATTAAAGAAATCGTACTCAAATCTTTTCTTTGATCAATTTTCAGGAAAATAAATCTAATTTAGTTTTTTTTTTTTTTAAAGATATAAAAATTTCTTTTCTGATATAGGTAGGAAAGTCGTTTGAGTGGACACACCAGATTTTTTTATTTACTTTACCACTATTACTTTTACACTACTAGGTTTTGTAGTGCAAGATGCGCCTTCAAAATTTTTGAGGGGGCACAGTTTGTTTGGGTTATGAATATTCAAGGGAAAGGTTTCGAACCAAGAAAAAAAAATGGACCGTATTACATCAAGTGCAATTATATATGATTTTCCTTATTATATTTTTGCTTGCATTATTTTTATAAGAAAAAATGAAATACATTTTTTTGAAAAAGGGGAGGAGTTCCCGCTTCTTTGGCCTTAGGGGGTGAGCACTCCTGCTTTCAAAGTATTATAATATTTGCTACTGTTTCGTTACAATAAGAAATAATATATTTTAAACCTCCTCTTGTCGAAACAGTTATTATAATTGTAGAGCACAAAGTATGAAAGACTAAAGTATAAGGATTTCGTCAAATTTGTGAGTGTGTTATCGACTGACTCAGGTTAGAGAAAGTGATTAACCAACTAGAGAATTGAGATCCGTCTGATGTAATTAGTTTATTAATTATAATTGATTAATTACTGGAACCAATAATCTACTGGAGCTGGGGTAGGGATGTGGCAGAACGTAATTCATTAGTGCATTACTAGCAAACAAATTTTTTATAGTTTCAGTTTAATAAACTATTTCTCGGATGAAGACATTATATTTCGTTGCTGTTCATATAATTTCTTAAAGTTGTGAAAAATGTTAGTAAAAAGGACTGATATACCTATCCCTTTCACAGTATCAGTGTAACTAAATTGTTATCAACAGTAAAGAGAGGGATTATGTATTCCTAATATTGTTTATTTTGTTGGTTTGTTTGTTAGAGCATTGCCACTCTTAGATATCCTCGAGATAAGCAGCTGATAAATTAAGTAGCGTCATGAAGGCAATGGATCGCTGTGGCTAAATGAAAACAGATGCTCGGATAACGAGAGGCTGCGGTTAGAGGTGACGGAAGAGGAGCAGTCGATCGGTCCAATTGGTGCAGCTGCTTTCCTTAATCCATCAGCGGGTTGGCTGGCTCCACTGTCGTAAAATGTGTTAACTAATTGTTACTAACGAAGTACCATTTAATTGAATCAGTATATTAGTTAAATTATCGGCTTATCTTCTAACTTAAAGCTAGCAATTAAAGTTGAAACAATATCTGACCTCATGGTCATATCAATGCTGGAAATAATAAAGTACCCAGATGTAAAATGGAAGAAAATGTACTTCAAATATTTAAAATTGACATATATCTTTACTAGTTGGCCTGAGCGAAGAATTTGCAAACAATTTTGTTTAGTAAAGGAATAGCAAAACAATATGAAAATAAGTAGATCCTATGTATTGTAATATTATATGAGGGAGGAATTAATTGTTTTTTCTTTGTAGATTACAATATTCCAATTATCATAATCATCAACTATGGACTGAAACGACAAGAAACCTCTCGAACCGTTCCATTACTCAACACTTACTATAACACACGAGTTCAAGAACTTCCAATAATTACAAAAGACCGTATAACACGACTATAAAAGGCTATTTGGACTTACGGATTTATGGGGGCTCCACTAAAACCCCTG